CTTGTTGAAACAGCACCTAGATATTGTTTGACAACATCTTTTATGTGATGGCTATCATAATTTTATTATTTGTGCGGTCACCAGTTGTTAACACTACATTTTGATCTCAATTAAATAAACCTTGCTGGTGATTAAATTCTTTACCGTTGAGCTAGAAAATTGCTCCTGCAGGCATGATCTTCGATTATGGAAATAAATTTGCAGTTTTTTCTCTCTATCTATTTAATGGCATCAACCACTCCTAACTGGACAACCTCCTACTAGACTCTTGAATGCTTTCAATTGAGGATGATAAGATTTTAGAGTGGACTTCAGATTTGAAAAGCAATAACCCAAAGGGATTTTTTCATTCCTATACACTATTGGAAACTTTATTACCCTAAATATTCATGTTTAGTAAATTACCCTACCTACACAAGTTTTGTTTATAAAATATATACATTCCACATTAAAATGCTCCTAATCCATTATTAGTGCATTCAATTAAGGAATTTAGTTACACCCTTTACCTTTTTTTTTTCTCTTCTTCTCTTTCCTTATTTTTCTGATGCAAAGTTATATCACCCTTTAACTTTAATTTGTACCTGTAAACGAATATATGATGCCCAGGAGGTGGGGGAGTAAAACAACCCTTTAACTCTTGGAGAAGTTTTGTTCTCTCTCTCTAGCTAGTTTAATTTTTCAAGTCCTTTTATTTCTTATCATCCACTGCTGGAGTGGCATGCCAGTAAACAGGTTGTTTAGAAATGCAGTGTTGGGTCTTGCAATGGACTTCGTTCTCTTATTTTTAAATGCATAGAAGGTATATTGGGAGATTTTCTTTAGTACATTACTGAAGCAGCAGAGTGCTCTGTAGCCCATGGAATTTGTCGCCTGAAGTAAAATATCATTAAAAAAATCCAGGGATGCAAAGTTACGAAAAGAAGAGACACAAAACTTATAAAGCGGAGTGATGGTGAGACATTTTCCGGAAAAGCATGAGAAGTACCATCATCAATTACAGAATTAGATCTGGATAAAATTAGACGAAGCAGAAATCCAAAACAGATGAACCTGAGTCCATTCATATTGGATGATTTGAATAACAAATCGTCTAAATTAAAAGAGACCGAAAAAATCCCAAAGCTTATGTCATGGTCTTGTAAAACTTATCTACAACTTTCATACATTATTTATACAGTTATATACAACTACAATATCATACAACTTAAACACAATATCTATACAAATTTTATACAATATGTCTTTTGTATATTTTGTATCTGATTTATACATAGCAAAAACAAGTTTCATACAACTAATTATATATTATACAACTTATCTACAACTTCATATATTATTTCTACCCAGTTAAATACAACTACAATAACAGACAACTTAAATACAAAATTTATACAATATGTCTTTTGTATATTTTATATTTGATTTGTACATAGTAAAAACAAATTTCATACAACTAATTATATATTATACAACTTATCTACAACTTATTTACAATTTTCATACATTATTCCTACTCAGTTATATACAACTACAATATCATACAACTTAAATATAATTTTTATACAATATTGTTCAACTTCCATACAATAATTAAATAATATATATATATACACACACACACACACACACACACAACATAATACAATTAACGTAATAATATNATATATATATATATATATATATATATATATATATATATATATATATATATATATATATATATATATATATATATCACAACAGAATATAATTTTTCTATAATTTTACTACAATTACGTAAATATAATGTACGGCAAAGGGCCAAATATACCCCTCTACTTTCAAATATTGTTTACCTGTACCCTTCGTTATACCATTGGGCTATCCATACCCCTACCTCATACTCTGGACAAAAATCCCCTATTTTGGATGGAGTGCCACGTGGCAGCACCAGATTAAAATGACCCTTTTTTTTACCCAACACGTTTTACAAAAAACCCACAACCCGAACCATATTTTCATTTTTCGTTTTTTAAAGATTTTCTTTTTGTAAAGCTTAAAAAAAATTGCAAAATATTTTCGTTTTTTTGAACCGAGTAGATACTGAAAAGATTTTGCAAAACAAATTATAAAAACTGAAAAAAATCGTTTTTTAACAAAATATGTTTTTTTTGTAAAAACTGTAAAAACATATTTGTAAAAACTGAAAAAATTGTAAAAAGTGAAAGAAAAAGAAATTCTGTTTTTAACAAAATATTTTTGTTTTTTAAAAACTGAAAAATATTTCCAATAAAATATTTTCGTTTTTAGAAAAAAAAATTTTCATTTTTTTCAGTTTTTGAAAAGATTTTCTTCTTGTAAAAACTGAAAAAACAAAATTGTATAAAGTGAACTTTTTTTTAAAAAAACAGAAAAAAAATATTTTCGTTTTTTAAAAACTGAAAAAATTATTTTCAACAAAATATTTTCATTTTTGAAAAATATCTTTTTTGCATTTGTTTAGTTTTTTTTCAAAGGATTTTGTTTTGTAAAAACTGGAAAGTTTTTTTTGTAAAAACAGAAAAAAAATATTTTTTGTTTTTTAACAAAATATTTTTTTTTTTAGAAACTAAAATTTTTAAAAAAAAATTGGAAAAAAATGAAAATAGGGGTCGGGTTGTGGGTTTTTTTTAAAAACGGGTCGGGTGAAAACAGAAAATGAGTCGTTTTAATCTGGTGTTGCCACGTGGCACTCCATTCAAAATAGGGGTATTTTTGTTTCAAAGTATGACAGTAGGGGTATAGATTACCCAGTAGTATGACGGTAGGGGTATAGATAGCCCAATAGTATAACGAGGGATACAGGTAAACAATATTTGAAAGTAGAGGGATATATTTAGCCCTTTTCCGTATAATGTATATCACGTCTTCTTCTTCTTCTTGAGTTTCAATATGAAATTCAGCCAAAATCAAGTTTAATCTTCGCCAAAACACCCTCAAAATTGAGATATAAACTCCAAATCATATTCCCAATTGTTTGCAACAACACCCAATCCAAACAAATAATGGTTTTTTAAAACCCAAATTCGAATTCAAAGCTTCAGAGCTTTTTAATGGTTATCAATGATGGAATTGCTGCTCTCTTTTCCTTTGCTTTACATTACTGAAATCAGGGATTGAGAGATAGAGAGAGACGTAGAGAGAATTCCTTTGCTTTACGTAGATATCTTCTTCTTCATTGAAAATCAAGCTAATCAGAGACGTTAATGAAGATAGAATTTTGAATAACAGAAAATTTCTATCTGGTTTTTGAAGAAGAGATGAAATAGGCGTTAATGGAGGATTTCTGAGATTTGTGAAGAGAAAATCGCGGGTGAGTGCAAGATACGTGGGTGAGGGGGGTGGATGTGGAGAGAGAAACGTGGGGGAGTAGGAATATACGGTAGAGTTATTTTAGGACACTAATTAATATCATTAATTCCCTTAAAATGTACATAAATGGTAATTGGGTATATAAAATGTAATTATAGTACAACTTGAGTAGGGAGGGTAATATAGTTTCATATAGTGTGTAGGAATGTAAAAATTCCTAAAAAGAAATAAGAGTTATGTCAAGCTTGACAACTTTAGCTTATCAAAGTAAAAATAAGTAGATTTATTATTTGAACTATCGAGTAAATATGATTAACTTTGTGACAAATTATGTTCCCACTGATTAGCTTGTAGACCATGCACGCATTCTATTTATTATTTCAAAATAAAAAAAAAATAAAAAAAAAAATAGAGAACTCGAGTTGGAAGAAGTTAAATTCCTTGAACTGATCAAGCTACCAAAGTTCCTATTAATTTAAAAGTTGAATTTACAATGAATCTATTTTGACATTATTACAGAAGAAGATGCCATATACTCATAGGCGGTAGCCATGATTTCAACGCCAGAATTCATTGTTGCATTGCTACAAAAGATTAATTAATGAAACAAATAGCTGTATTAGACAAGAATATTTACACCAGCAAGTTAAACTTGGGACAATATCAACAGAAACAACAGTGATTAGTGGTCTTCATTAGATATAGCCTAACAGAAAAAATCTAAGTATCAGCCAATTTAAAGATTAATTAGTCACTTCCATATGTCAAGTGAATTTAGACAAGAATGTTGACACAAACTAACTTAAACTTGACATAATTCCTATAGGAAAAACAGTAAGATGGTGTTCTTCATTGCAGGAAAATTTTAAATTGAAGTATCAACCAATATAAAAGAAATTATGCCTTAAAACTATTTCATTTATCTTGTCGAGTAAAGTCTAAATCAAAATCAAGGTGGTCTTGAATTATCCTTTATCATCAGAAATGCTTATTGTTACATAGTTTGAGCATCCGGTACAAATTAATCGATTATAAGTAAATAAGTTTAAATTATATGCATTAATAGTATAAAAAATATGTAAGAAATATTTACAAAGTAGTGTAAGAAATATTTGCACAAGTAAACCTTAATAATAAATATTAATCGGTAACCTGGTAAAATGACAATAAAACTACATTAATATTGTAAAAAATGTTTATACTGTTAGAAGAGTATATGTTGAGTAAAGTGGTTTTTTAATTTACTGTTAAGCATCTGATCATTCGTAATTAATTCCATGTATTATCCCAACTTTCAACAAATTGTAAATGAAGATAAGTTTTTTTTATCTCTCTTCATTTCCTTGATCTTACCTTTTTCTGTTAGTAGAATAATTTGACTCTCTTATTTTCTTGACATTAAACAAAGCCTAGCTAGAATAAATTGTGACTCCACAAACTTTATTTTGCATTAGTATTAATAATTCTAGGAATTAGAAATTAATAGTAAATCCATTTGGACCCTTGTCTTAGAAACCATCTCATACCAATGGAGACATAATATATTCAATAGGGTCAAGTTGTCTTATTCCAACAAGGAATCAGTTTATATTAAAGCTGTTAACACAACATTCTTGAGATCATCACATATAAATTCATCATTGTTTGCAGCTTCAACACATTCAAGAATGGAGCTATTCATGTTAATACTGACTATGGTAGTGTTGGGTTTAGTAATTTTAGCTGTCTTACTGAAAACAAGGGATTCTCCAACAGAAATGGAAGCAATTCCAGGTACCTTAGGGTGGCCTATTATTGGAGAGAGTTTGTCTTTCATATCTGAATTCTCAAGCCCTGCTGGTATATACAGCTTCATTAACAAGAGACAGAAACTGTAAGTAAATATGCTTAAATGCCAACATATGATCATTTTCGTAATATCTATCTAGCTCTCTAGCATTGTCATTTTCTCCAGGGAATCGTAATAATATGCTATGTTTAATTAGAAACAACTCAATCACTTGCATTCTGGAAAGAATTTATAATCTTGCTCGGGAAGGTGAAAGAAAATTCTTTAAATGCTCTATGTCATTGAAATACTCACTTTAATCCACTGACTGCAGGGGCAAAGTGACCTTTTGCTAAGGGTGGTCACTTCGTCACTGCATATATTGAACACCCTTTGTCGGGAAATTTGTTTACTTCTTTCAAGTTGGAACACCCTTGGGGAAATTTCTGGCTTCGCCACTGACTGACTGTATCATGGTTTGGCGCGTGATAGAAATAATGATTGTAGCATGGTTTTGTTTATAGGTATGGGAAGGTGTTCAAGAGTTATGTATTGGGAAGGTATACAGTGTTCATGACAGGAAGAGAAGCAAGTAAAATATTGTTGACAGGAAAAGATGGAATGGTGAGCTTAAACCTTTTCTACACAGGACAGCAAGTACTTGGACCTACTAGCTTGCTCCAACAGACAGGAGAGTCGCACAAGAGACTCCGAAAACTAATTGCTGAACCGCTCTCACTTGACGGCCTTAAGAAGTATTTTCAGTTTATCAACAGCTTAGCTATTGAAACATTGGATCAGTGGTCTGGAAGAAAAGTCTTGGTTCTTGAAGAAGCTTCCACAGTTGAGTCTTTTGATAATTTTATTATAGAGTTTGGTTTTTGATTTAGAGGCATTGTTTCAACCTGTTGGATTATGTTTTGCAGTTCACACTGAAGGTGATAGGCAATATGATAATGAGCTTAGATCCAACTGGTGAGGAACAAGAGAAATTTCGAACCAATTTCAAGATTATTTCTGCCTCTTTTTCTTCCTTACCCTTTAAGGTCCCCGGAACTGCCTTCTATCGTGGCATTCAGGTAACAACATTTTCAACAGTATATGCAGAATAGGATTAATGGACAAACTAAAAGGGATGACTATTTATAAACTACAGGCACGTGATCGAATGTATGCTATGTTAGACTCGATAATTGACCAACGTAGAAGTGGGAAAAGCTTGAAACAAGACTTCTTGCAATCCCTGGTAAAGAAGCATGCATCAGAAGGAAATGACGATGACAAACTCACTGATAAACAACTCAAGGATAACATATTAACACTGCTAGTTGCAGGACACGATACTACAACTGCTGCTTTGACATGGCTCGTCAAATATATTCAAGAAAATCCTGTTGTATTGGAACAATTAAGGGTAACTCTTATTGAACCTAATACGGGGAAAAAGAGCAACCTTTAACTTTCTGAAATTAGATTATACTAACTTGAATCTTTTATTTGCAGGAGGAACATAGAGAAATTCAAGCTCGAAAACAAGGCACATTAGATCTTGCCTGGTCTGAAGTCAACAATATGCCTTACACCGCCAAAGTGAGCTGCATAATAGTCATAAATCCAGCTTCTTTTCATCCCTGAAATTCAAAGATTAACCGTTTGGTTGATCTTTCATTGTTCAGGTAATAAGTGAAACTCTTAGAATGGCGACAATCCTGCCCTGGTTTTCAAGAAAAGCAGCAACGGATTTTGAAATTGATGGTAACTGTCAGCTTTCTCATACCTGGATTTTGTTACATTTCCTGCTATAATAAACAGAGCTAAAATAAATCTGTTAACCATTCTCAGGATTCAAAATCAACAAGGGATGGTCTCTTAACTTGGATGTAGTGTCTATCCACCGCGACCCCAAGATTTTTGTTAATCCTGAGAAGTTTGATCCTTGTAGATTTGATGTAAGTTTTCCAAAATAATATGCAGGCTCCTTGTATTCAACCACTGAGATCTTATAACAAAATTGGATTCTCTGCAGGAGCCTCTAAAACCTTTCAGCTTCCTTGGATTTGGAAGCGGACCACGTATGTGTCCTGGAATCAACCTGGCCAAACTGGAAATTTCTGTTTTCCTTCATCATCTTGTCTGCAGATACAAGTAAGAAAAACATAGAGGGGAAAGAAGTAGAACCAAACAAGTAAAAGGAAAATAAAGAAAACCAGTCGGTCCTTTTGAAATATTCTCTAGTTTCTAATTTGAAGAGTTTTCTCTGTTGCAGATGGACACCTTTAGACACGGATGATTCTGTTCAGCCAACACTTGTCAGGATGCCGAAGAACAAGTATCCTGTCATGGTTGAGACACTTTAGATAATGTCTTTCTTTTACATTTATTGTATTAGAAAGAGGAAAAGAAAGCATTTTAGTAGACTGTAATAAGGAAAAGGTGCTAACTCCTGGTTCCAGTTGAACCAATTAGTAACCAAGAAGTTGGACTAGTTCCTAAAGATCCATTGTCAAATTGCAAGATAAGATAAGAAACTCTTTGATGATTATAAAAAAATTGGTAATCTAACAAAGTAGTATATATTTTAAAGCTCAAAGCAAGTAGTTTGCTGATTTTGTTCTGCTTCCTCTCTTTCATTTTCTTCTTTTCTCGTCGAGAGGGGTGGCAGGAGATTGTTACAATCAACCCTTGGCCCTCCTATTCTACCACTGAATGTGACTCAGATGCATAGCTCCAAAACTTACTGGACGTTAGAATTTCCTGGTCAAAGAGCCAAGAAAAAGGCTAAATGTGCATTGTAAAAAAGAAGATGACTGTAACTACAGAAATAAAAATCTAATAGTATACATCCTTTCAACCTTAACCTGCTGTTTCTGTATTAACTTCCATGATTTCTTTCCACGCACTTCCTGTATATTCCTCAGCCAAACAACATATAGGCGACAGATAGTATAATAAATAGTTTGCAGTAACAATGAGATTGAGAAATTGTAAAAAGGCTTCACACAGAGAGTTTAGATTCTGTTTGCTACCCAAGAAATTGTACCTCCACAATGAAGAAGCATTACATTTCTCACATATAGAGTTAATGATTGGAAATCATGATAATCCTCATCGTATTGTAGAACTAGAATCTAACACCACAATTTAAACAACCATTAACTTTATCCCCCATTGAGTTTCACGTTGTCCTTGTAAGATTTCATAATTTGGAAGTTGCGGGTGCCACTATTTTATATTGGAATTTTTACATTCCTATCCCACATAGGAAACCTTTTTACCCTACATGTTTAAGGTTTGAGTAAATTACATTTAGTATACCAAATTACCATTTCTATACCATATCTAATTAAGGTTATAATTAATGAGATATTTTCTACTCCTTAATTAAAGCGTTTCTGTTTTTTTTTTCCAGTATTAATCCCTCACTTTCTCTCTCGGCAAGGCTAAGATCTATCGTCTCTTTGGCAGGGAAAGGTGGAAAATGTACATCTCTCAAATCTCCTTCTCTCTCTAAATCTCTATTTTTTTCTTTTTTCAATATAGATTTGTGTATAAAAATATTTGTGATACAGTTTGTGCTTGATTCAGAATGCATTTTCATTATACTTTAAAATTAGTTTAAGATTTTCCGAGTTTGAATTACTTTAGATTTATTTGGCATTGGTGTTGAGATGCACTTTAATTTTTTGTTTTTCCTTTTCAAAATTCTGAAATTGGAGATTTGTTGCAACAGTTGGAGCCGCATTTCATTCGTTTATATGTAGCTACATACATTTGGAACCTACTACTCACAGTTCATCTCCTAGACAAATCCGTGTCGAGATGAGAACAAAGCAAATGCACGATGTAGATGCTGGAGGAAGTGCTACACCAGGCGGCAAACAACTGTCTTAATTTTGTTGATTATTTTTAGTTGTGAGTTTCTACAGTTTATAATTGTAGATAAATTGTAGACTGTTTTTTGCAGAAGATTTTGTAGAAGTTTTAGTCGTTTTGGATTTGTGAAAACAGAAAACAATGCATCTACAATTAGAATACAAATAATCTACAATTTATCTACAAAATATCTACAAACTGGATACATTGAATTTTTATATCCCAATTCCCATTTCAATTGTAGCACAATTGACATTTTTGACATAATTGCGTTTTTTGCAGAAGATTTGTAGAAGTTTTAGTCGTTTTTGATTTGTGAAAACAGAAAACAAAGCACCTACAATTAGAATACACATAATCTACAATTTATCTACAAAATATCTACAAACTGGGTACATTAAATTTTTATATCTCAATTCCCATCCAATTGTAGCATAATTGTGATTTTTGACATAATTGCGTTTTTTCAAAAGATTTGTAGAAGTTTTAGCCGTTTTTTATTTGTGAAAACAGAAAATAAAGCATCTACAATCAGAATACAAATAATCTACAATTTATCTACAATTTCTGCATATGTCTTCTTCTTCTTCTTCTTCTTCTTCTTCTTCTTCTTCTTCTTCGAGTTTCAATCTGAAATTCAGTCAAAACCAAGTCTAATCTTCACCAAAACCTCTCAAAATTGAGATATAAACTCCAAACCATATTCCCGATTATTTTCAACAACACCCAATCCAAACAAATAATGATTTTTGAAAACCCAAATTTGAATTCAAAGTTTTCAAGCTTTTTAATGGCTATCAATGGTGGAAAATATCTGGAAGAATATTTACTTCCATAATGGCTTCCTAATTTTTCGCAGGTGATTAAGGCAGAATTTTAATGTAGACTCAATCAATCGCAAGATTTTTTCCTGATTTTTAGCGCGTTAATTATGGAAGATTCTGCCCAATTAATCGTGTATTAAACAAATGGTACAGAAATTGTAGGAAAAGTGTGGACTAGGCAGGTAATTTAGATACTATGCATATTTTTGGTAATAAAGTTTCATATATGGTATAGATAGGAAAAACCCTCTTTTATATTAGTATGCCTACAAAGCCCGAATAGAATGGATTGGTTCAGTCAGTTTTGGGCTAACTCGATTAGGTATTTTATTCGGGATATTTTTAAAAATAGCCAGATTTACAACTGGTCGTTCAAAAATAGCCCAATTTCAAAAGTAATCGAAATTTAGTCACTTTTTATGTAAAGATAAATCTGAGCGAAAACACTGTTCAAAACCCGGAAAATACTCCAGTATATTATGTTGGAGTTCCAGCATAAGTATACTTGAACTCCAGCATATTATACTGGAGTTCCAAGATAGTATGCTGGAACTCCAGCATAATATGATGGAGTTCCAGCATAAGTACACTAGAACTCCAGCATAATATACTGGAGTTCCAGCAAGTATAATGGTCCAGTATAATATACTGGAGTTTGGAGCACCAATGCTCCAGTCTCCAGTATATTATACTGGAGCCAGCAAAGTATACCGGTCCAGCATAATATGCTGGAGTTCATACACAAGTGCACCGAACTCCAGTATATTATGCTGGACCGGTCTCTATTGCAGCAAAATGGTGGCTATTTTTCATTGACTTGGTAAACGCTGGCTATTTTTGATTGACCAGTCCGAAAACTGGCTATACCGTAAAATTTTGGCATTTTATTCGCAAATGGACAACTAAGTCCAGTTTAGTTCAGTTGTTTTAACACTTGAATTCAAATTTTAAATTCTATTCTAGAAAAAAGGTGCAAAAAAAAAAATCAATAATTGAAAGAGCAGCTCCAATTAGATAATTTGCTAAAAATAGCTTAATTTCTACATATACTTTGAATGACTAAATTAATTTACCCCTTCAGTATTCTTGAGTTATTTTAATTATCACATTTTGTGACAATTCTTTACAAAATGCTTCAAATTTAAATCTATGAGAATCAACCCAAAACTTACTTTAATATATAGATCAACGGAATGTCATAAAAACAAAGAAGAAGAAAGGTGAGGGCCTAACAAAGAAGAAAGAAAGGTGAAGACCAACTGGTCCATGGCTCACTGTGAATCGAACCTGGGTATATTATCATGAAAGGAAGGACTCTAGCGGTCTCATTGAGCCGGTGGCACCCGGAGCGCTTTGTGCAACGCAGGAGCCATGCAAAACATTTTGTGCGAATTATTACAGATATTATATAAATAGTCAGATTTTTTCCCAAAGTGTGCGGGCGTACCACCCCTACCTCATAAGGTAGATCCGCCCCTGCCTGCACCTCGTACATATATTACGGCACCTTGCTGCAGGCACCAATGCCGCTCTACTACATAACTCTTCAAACGATGTCTAAAGATATGAATATACATGCAGTCCTCAACCTCCAAAGGGGATAAAAAACAGAAACAAAACAAAAACAAAAGAAAAAGCAAATGCTTATCTGCTATAGAAATTAACTTGATAGAAAGAAAGAAACACACAGGTTCAATCCATCAACCCCTCTTCATGGGCAGAATGTTTACATCCAATAATTTGATGATAGGAATTATTTTGCTTCAAGAATTTTGAAGTCATAACCGCTGACGTGTTTTTCTGCCAGTTTGAGAACAAGAATGGGATTATGTCTACAAGTCCATAACCGAACAAGACTAGTACACTACATCCAATCTTAAAATCTTTTGCACAAATGCTACCATAACTTTCCTCCGGGTCATCTAAATTCTCTTCTCAACATTTTTTCGCAATTTTGCTATGGCTATGAGTCCCCCTTTCTCATATCAAAGGCAGCAGACTGAGAAAATGGAGAGGAGCACAAAAAGCTGCTACATAATTTTGGAAAATCATTCCTTATGATAACACATTTTTGCAGAAGCAAAAGGGCCACAACAATACACTTCTATGACTCCAAGTCACAATTCAAACATCACTTCTACAAAGAATCTAAGGCTTCGTACAGAAACAACAGAAACTAATAGCTTCTCTAATTCAAACATCAGTGGCACGATGGCTCTAATGTTTCCTACAGAAACAATGAGAAACCTATAGCTTCTCTATCTAAGAATTATATCCTCTGTGCTGAGGGCAGCAACAGTTTCGACTCCCAATATCTGCAGCTAGACAAGGAGGCTTGACGTTCTCATCCTTGTACCAGATTGATCGTGCTTTAACTAACTCGTCCAAGAAGTCATCCAGCTTTTCGACTGTGACACTAGGCATTACAACAACATGTGACATATTTCTTTCACAAGCAAGTTGCCACTTGCGAACAAATTCCTCATCTTTAGGTCGCTCAAAAACAACTGTGCTGCTCAGTTCATTCAGCATAGCACTGATTCCAGCTCCTATAAGGCGATCTTTTAAGTAATGAGCATTCCTTAGGCACTTCTGGACTTCTTTCTGGAATCCCTTGTACCCTTTTCTGTTCAGGGTGCACCAAAGGAAAAGTGGAGCAT